ATATGACTGCTGAGTTACTTCACGGTTGCGCTAAAATATCACATTTGCATTCATTTAATTATGAAAAACGACTGTGGTCCCTGTAAATAATTGCGATCAGGTGATTACATGTTGACTGTTAATGTTTCATTTAAAGCGTCCTCTTGAATGAACTCACCGCTAACGTGCACATTTTCACATTAAATCAGATTAGCAGTTTATGTGCATTCAGCTGATGTAAACATTTAGAACTTAAGCTAACGGGAGTGTTTGCATGTCTGCAGTTTGTTTGCCAAATGTGCTCCTTTATCCCCCCGACACACACACACACACACATCTGTCTGCATGTGTGTGTGTGCAGAGAGATGCATCACCTAACTATTACTACAGGAGTCATAGGTCAGCTGAGGGATTCTTTTTTTTAGATAATATACATCAGCTGATCTGAGCATTCGCACACATCTCTCGGCTGAACACACGAGTAGTTCCCGCAGTCAGGCGTGGCGGAGATGCCTGAAACATGAATAGGATATGAGGTAGTAAGCTTGAGTCACCGCTGGCTGCTTTCCTCAGTATTTTAAGTGTGCTTGTGAAATCCCTGAGCTCCCCGTGATGTACAGCTAAATGTAGTTGTCTGTTTGCAGCTGAATGAGGTGGAAAAAGTTAACCGTGTGACAATGAACACATCCCGTATAGTTCGCTTACGCCTTCGGCTCCCTGCAGTGTCGTTTGCAGACAGTCGCTTCCCCCCCCGTCTCTGCTTATGTATAGCTCATTCCTTTATATTTCTCCTGGGTTTACTGCACTCTAAATAAATCTGTATGAATAATGAGGCCTAAACAAAGCATGACTGCGTGCTCGGATGAATCCTTTGTTTGAAAAGTGAAGTGAGCGGGCAGTTAAAGAGTTTCAGTTTTTATCCTGGCCTAGTTAAGCTGAAGTGAAGCTTATATACTACAAATAGTCCCCCTGTTGTCTTCACTTGATTAGGCAGACATTTGCAGAATTTCAACTATTTCAGTGTGACATCCAAAGCAGGGCTGCATGGATTTCCAATCTGGACGACATGTTTCTGCATTCATTCATTCATTCTGGGTAATCAGTGATATCTCAGAATGTGATTAAAGGCTCCGTGATTTAGTTCCTGACTTCATGAATGCGGCTGGGTGTGGCCCAGATGATGCAGCTTTTACTCATCTCCAAAAATAAGAAACTCATACGTGATAGTTTCCTTTTTAAATCTGTTTTGCACATGACACACATCTTGTTCAAGCACGCAAATCATGGCTATTCACTTTTTTTTGTGCCTTGTTTGTTGCTGTTTATCACCCGTATGGTTTTTTTTTTATGCTTGTGGGGGTTTTATCTTGGAATGTGGGATTGATCAAAGGATGCAGCAGCGTGTTATCTGTTCCTAACTGTTTGCTTCTCTCCCCAACATGCTCTCGTAAGAATGTGCTGATTGTGGAGGTGAGTCAACCATGTTTTTTTGCTTCTCTTACTCCTCGTCTTCACCAAAATAGGCCCATTGTATTTTTCTTGTTGTGGTTGACGATCCAGGTCAAGAGGAGCCACTTAAAGTTTTTTTTTTTCTCCTTCTACGAGACCCGAGTTCAACATGAGGAAACTTTTTTAATTGTCTGACCTATATTTGAGAAGCCAGAGAGTTATTAGTCAAACGTGACCACAAACTTTTCCTCGTTAGCGCAGTAACTCGGTCTTACTGTAGGTTGGGAGTATGTGCAGTGGAAAAGAGGGCATGTACAGTAAAGAAATGGCTGTGGTCATTCAGTCAATTCATTATTACTTACTGTAAACAGACTGCATGATTGAATATTGTGAAATAGAGTCATTAGTCAGTGTCCAATTACGGGTGAAGATGCCCTCAGTCATTCATTGACTGTGACCGACTGCATCTTTGTTCTATTTATAAATGAATTCTCGTAAGGATGTTGTTTTCTTTAATGCTTTTAAGGGTTTTTTTAAATACTGCAGCTTAAACAAGTAACTTGTTAAGCACTCTGTATATATACATATATTTAAAGACCATCCAGCATCATGAGGTGCTTTAATTCACTCTCAGTTCTCCACGTTTTACCATTTTGAACAGGGATGAGGAATTTCAAACTGAATTCCCCTTTTTATCATCCGGCTCACTGGGCTTCTCTAGAAATTAACTAGGCATAACATTCAGCCTCTAAAACCAAAAATTCTGTTCAGGGATGCGAGTAAATAACCATAATTTGACATCTTAATCAAGAAATAATCGTGTGCTTTCCTATTTTTTCAGGGATTTTTTTGTAAAATAGAAATGTGAAAATTCATGGATAACAATAATAATTCTATTTTAACATTAAAAATATAATTTCAGTTAAAGAGCTTCTGCATACTGGCGTATCAACCATTACAGAAACATAAGAAATGATTTTGGTAATTACCAATTCTGTTAATTTAGGGCATAAACCTTACACTGGGTGGTGGTCTAATACATTTGTGAAGCATTATATATTTTTAAAACATTATATATAGGGATTATGTTTACCTTAATTTCATCAGGGAGCAAAAACCTGACTCCAAAAATTGTGTGCTGATGTGTATATTGGCTGCTTTTTGCAAACACATAAGTCAAATCAGTTTAAAAAATGCTAACAAGTTGATGGAGCGTTAAATGCGTTAGATAGTCCAAGATACTTTTACGTAATTGTACCTTTAAAAAATTTGCTTTTTTTTTTACTTAAAGTATTAAATATATCTACAGTTGGATGGACAAGAAGTGCACATGTATGCCTTCAACGCTGTTTTATTTGTAGAATGATTTGTGAAAGAATAAAACTGGCAGTCGTCACTGCATGTCACTGATTTAAAGGCACATACGGTCAAACATATAATGGTCAAGATCATACCGTCTCTTAAATGTTTTCGTATATTAAGTTTGTTTTAACTCCTTTTATACGCAAATAATTTCAATTGCATTACACAAGGCAAAGAAATGCATCGGAACAACATTTAAAATGCGTTTTTGCTTTAGTTTCAGGACAACCTGCTGCTCTGTCTGCCTGCTTTAACACTCTGCTTATGTTCAGTCATAACAGAAGCGTGTTGTGTGTATGTAGTGTCGCGCATATTGACCCACAACACACTTGTGTGGCTTAGTTTGTTCCACTTCTATTTTTATTTCCAACCTGATGCAAGAGATCCGACTCAGTTTCGTGTAAATCACCCCATTTTTTAAAAAATGTCCTTTTTCTGTGGAAGTGAAGCCAGTGATAGAGAACGCTTATAAACCGTTACGTAATCTGGGCCCAGTGTGAACTTCTTCCTTTTCACTTCAGTGTAAGATCTGTTTTGGTCTGCGTTTCCACATCGACTGCTTTCTCACTCAGTCCAGTTTTTCTATCTTCCCCCTCACAGGCTATTGTGGGCACCGGAAAGACGATGAAGACTCTCCTGAAGCACGTCGAAGCCTTCAGGCCCAAAATGATTAAAGTGGCAGGGTAAAGACGTCAAAGCAGAACCAGCCCCGTTGTCCTGCTTTGTGAATCACTTCATTTCCACCTCGCAGTCTAGACACAGTTTTAAATTTAATGCTGCCTCCTGACCTCCCCGGACGACAGTTAGGAATGGGTGTTTGTAAAGTGAAATCTGCTTTTGTTTTCCCCCAGACTGCTGGTGAAGAGAGTGCCGCACAGCTCGGCGTGTGTGCCTGACTGTATGTATCTGACCAAACCCTGTTACTGAGCTCATGAGTCAGTGGTTCATTCACATTTAAAACAATTGTTGCAGCTTGTTAGGCTGTGAATCAGTGGGTTAAAGAAACATTTGACACCAACGTTCCTCTTTGTCATGTCATTCTTTCAGATGTCGGCTTTGAGATACCAAATCGTTTTGTGGTAGGATATGCCTTAGACTACAATGAGTATTTTAGAGACCTAAATGTAAGTCAATGGCTGTTTTATTTTAGACAACAATGACTGTGTTTACAGGAAGAGCTCATAATGAGCGTCTTAACTGTCACACATGCATCAAATAAAAGACATTTGAATGTTGTGGAACCTGCTCATATTCTGCATTTACTGTGCTTTTTTTTTCCTTTTTTTTTCTTCTCAGCACATCTGTGTGATCAGCGAAAGTGGAAAGCAGAAATATAAGATTTAAAGAGAAGCCAAGAAGAGGCTACTGTCACGTAGATGTCATCTCACAGCAAGCCCAGACATTTCCCTTCGGTTCCCATTCTCTTACAGCTGCTATCATGACATCTGATCTCAAGCATACCTGTTTTGGTTATGGCATTCCTTCTTTTAAGCACGTATCTATTTTAACAACACGCGCTGGCGTTTAACTGGCTGTTTTTGTCGAGGAAGTACATATTTTACTAGGTTTTGCTAGGTTTGCAAAAGCAATTAACGTGGAAAATGTTTAACTGTTAGTGTGACTAACACGAATGCAATCTGTTCCGTTTCTTTTATGCAATGTCAAGGACTCGATAATCACGACATGTTGTGAATGTTTCTCAAGTCACCGTGAGAAGAAATGAAAGGGAGTCGTTCTCATTTTGAAATTAGTCGTAGAAGTTTACATTTTCTTTACCTTTTTATTGTTTTTGTAGGTAGTTCTGCTGTTACTTCTAATCCTCAGGGGAAAACTCTTTCTTTTAGTATTTGATGTCGAGTAAATTTGTCATTTTTCTATTTCTTTTTATAGTTTAACATACAATAAAGTCTTTTTAACATTTTTTGTGTTCTGTAATGTGGTTTTCTGATATACGAACATGTTTTGTGGTTACGCTGCTGAGGTTTTCTGTTGATTTTTATTTTATTTGCTATTTATTTAACCAGGTTAGTCCCATTGATATCAGAGGTCTCCTTTACAAGAGGGCGGCAGCATCGTCGCATTAACAACAATAAAAAGCAGATAAAATTTAACTGCAACAATAACACCAGCACACTGTGGACTATAATGATTCCACCTGAACTTTAAACTCATTCAGTGTCACAAGGGCTTGAAGTCGTAATTTATTCCAAACATTCGGTGCAGAAATCCTAAATGCTTTCATACCCAGGTCAGGTCGTACTTTGGGGACGACAAACTGCACAGTATCCATCTATTGATGATCTTTATTTTACACAACGGGCTTCTTTGTGGACTCTTTGACGGTGGTGGAATGTAACTAAATACATTTACTGAAGTCTTGTACTTAAGAACAAATTTAAGGAACTTTTACTTCCATTTTGTGCAAGTTTATATTTCCACAAGATCCACTGCATCTCATAGGTAAATACTGTCATTTCTCTCCACTACATTTGATTGACAGCTTTAGTTAGTTTTAATTTTTCATATCCGTCCTCTCCCGTATCTCCATATGGGGTGACTCTGAACATTTGTAATAAATTGGAGGATTAAGTGTTCTTATATGCACTGAGAAAATACTCCCACTTTTTTAAACTAAATAAACTGAAAGCTCTCTTGGATTAGCTGAAAATGCATCATCGCAAAGTCTTTTTAAGCTCTCGAAAAGCTGTAGAAGGACCTGGATTTGAATCTCAGTCTCAGGTTAGACTGGCCAACAATTTATGACGTACTTGAAGTTTGCTCAAGCATAAATTAAAATGCAACTGAAATAGTGATCCAACATCATAGATAGTAGCAAGACAATGCAGGAAACATTTTTCTGCACTTTCACTATTTACAGTTAAGTGCATTTTCCTGACAATTAATTGTGTGGTTATAACTTTTCCTCAGGTAAAGTATCTGAATACTTCATTAGAAGCTGCTCCTCAGTTACCAAAACTCGAAACTTTTTGTAACGACTGCGGCGACCAAAACTGCAACCTGAAACATAACGGTACCGCTCTCTGGGAGAAAATAGGTTAACCGCAAATGAACTCGTAAAAGGTACAAAAGGGAGTCCATTGTATTGAGCTACTGTGCTCTTTGTATACACCTGACACATGACTCCCGGTTTTTAAGCCGGGAACTGAAATAACGACAAAACCGTTTCTCTCTTGCCTCTGAGGGTCTTTAGGGGATTATAGTGAATCGACTCTGACCTTTTAACAGAACTGAGCTTCAACAATAATGTCTTGATGAAGAAGTCCAATAGAATTACATTATTACCTAGATTTTAGTTAGTAGAGGTAGAAGTGCACACCAATAAAACCTGGTCCAACAGTGGGCCGTGGGCATTAGAAATGATAACAACTGTTCTCTGCACCTTACAGCTCGTTTTACATTGAGTCACTTCACTCTGCACATTATTTTGATAGTTTTTATGTATATATTGTTAATATATGATGTAAATGATCTTCATTCTTATTCTTTTTTGATAATATTCATCACTCTACTAAACGTTATTTCTGACAATTGCTTATTGACCATATCTGATTTGTTAAGTGAACTGTATATGCTCATCTTTGACAATTGCATTTCCTTTTTATAGCACCATTGTGGATGAGAAGCGAATACCGTTGTACCATCGTACAAAAGTATGACTGTTTACTTAAAGATTTATCTTTATCTTTATCTTATCAAGTGGAAGAAGTATTCTGATCTTCTACTTAAGTAAAAGTTGTAATACCACAAGGTAACAAAGTTCCATATATTAAATCATACTTGAGTAAAAACAAGAATCTTATATACAGAAAATTGCCCTCTATGAAGGTTATATTGTTTATATTCATATTATTATATATCATTGATTCTTTAATATGTCAGTGCCAATTTACTGCTATATCTGTTAGGTGGAACTCATTTTAATGTAGTGGCAATATTTCAAATAACATTTTGTAAGTTGTTTACATGTTTCGTGAAATCTAAACTTGAAAAATAACATTTTCCTCTGAAATGTAGTCTAATAAAAAGACAAATGAAGCCTAAATATATATAAAAAATTAGTACAGCAATTGTTAAAATAAACAATTTTCTTTTTCAAGATAGTAATTCATGGAAATGTTCTGTCAGTAAAATGTCTCTTAAATCAGTGTTGGAAGAAGTATTCAGATTCTTTACCCAAGTAAAAATAGCAATATAGATATTATATATGAGCAGCAGAATGTGGTCAAGGTAGCCAAGTAAATATATTGTTTTTATCCTCTGAGTGATATATATTATTATATATAACGTCATTAGATTATTATTAACGAAGCATCAGAAGCTGGCTCATGTTGTAACTGCAGTGCAGTTAGTTTGAAGTACTTTAACGTTTTACTTACAGGGAGAGCAAATAAATCTGAGGCGGGAAAAAAGTTGTGATACACATCAATTTTCAGCGTTTGGACTTTTTCTGTCATATTAGATTTTTGGTGAGATTTTAACATTTATTGAAGTAAAAGCATGTGAGATGTTGAGACGGAAAAATCACTGGTGGAGTTGTTGACTACTCATAAAAATCTGAATTGTGACCGTGACTACACAATACTTTTTGTCACTGTCAGAAGCCAAAAAGGCTGGTTACTGAGGAAATCTTGAACAATCTATTGCATCTTTAACACTTGCAATTAATTGAGTAAAATCTTAAACGGTAACCAAAGCTGTCAAGTAAGCGCAGTCGAGTGGTATAAAATTGAAATACCCAAGTAAAGATCAAGTACCCCAAAACTATACAGTACTTGAGTACATGTACCCAGTTACTTTGCACCATTTCCTAACACTTGCAGTTTATTTTCCAAACTTTATACCCACAGTATTCCACCCACTGGAAGCAGAAATGGCTGGACGGGACAGCTTTGAGAAAGTCTCCTCCCTAAACTGACCCCTGTAACAAAAGCTGCCAATCCCAAGAACAGGTGGTCCCTTATGTTGGAGAGGCATAAAAGGGACATTTGTCAGGGCCCTGAGAATCTGAGCTCTTATTTTTAGTGCACAGCAACACTCTGTTCCTGAATATGTTTAAATCAAGGAGTGCCGGTGTTGAGTATTTAATCTAAACTATCTGCTTTGGGAGATACTTGCAGCACGATGGGAGCAAAGATTGTACGCTGTGTGGTATGTGCATCTGCGTGAACTCACATTCCACATCCACTGCCATCCACATGCCAGCCCTGCTCGACCTCACTTTGAACCAGGACATGTGACTCCGTGTTTCTCCCTTGTTTTGTGCATGTGGAGCCAAAGCGGGCAGCCTTTTTATTTTATTTTATTTTTTTTAAAGTCATAACTAAAATGTAGGTTGATCATGCATTGTGTCTGCTAGTTTTTACTTTGTCCTCCTGGTTAACTGCCCTGTTGAACTCCATTGGAGCGGTTAAAAAACACCACCTTTCAGCGGCGGAGACTATTTTTTGTAAACTCGCTCTTGATTGGCCCGGTCAAATACAACGCCGCCTCTGATTGGCTGAGAGTGTCCTGTTGACCGAAGGTGGACTCCCAGTGAGTCGGGAACGCTGGAAGCAGAGACAAAAAAAAAAAAGAAAAAAAATTCCAGCCTCAAAACTGCACCATGCGCCTCCACTGAGTGGGTTTGGATTAATCACCGGGAAGTCGTTTGTAGTCAAACGGTATTGAATTATGACAACGCCTGCCCACACTGGAGCTCACACGCTATGTTTTTACTTTGCCTAGACACTTTTACGGACGAGCACCGCCGCCGTTGTTCGCCTCTAACGACGCTTCCCAACTACACAGGTAACTTTGTTTAAACTCCAGCCGTTAGCATGGATGCTAACCCCCGCTAACAGCCTGTTGCCGCAGTCGCTTCTGTTGTCGCTTTAGTCAACTTTACGAGGTTTACAGGTGGCGTTGAGAATATACGTTGTAGTAAAATTAAGCTACGGCGTCTCGTATTTACTTTTGGACTTCTTTGTGTTGGTGTTTTGAGAAAAAAAAAACGACAAAAGGCAAAGCTTCTTTTGTTGGGCGCTTGAGAACAACAGCTCGACACGCTCGCTACGTGCCTCCTGTTGACCATCGAGTGATTTTTAATTCACCAAAGCACAAAAACGCTCGGTTTATTAGTGAAATACACGCGGCGTGGTGACTTGTACGGTTCAAGCGCTGTTTCTGTAGGTTTTAGCGACGTGTTTTTACATGTGACGGACGTTTTATTTCGCCGTGGCTGCCGTCTGTGCTCCACTTGTTGCTGGTCATTCATTATGCAGTGTTGACTCTCCACGTTGTTGTGCTTCAGCCTCATGACAACAAGTTGTTGTTGGGGTAAATAAAGCAGTGCTGGTGTAGTTTGTCACATACTGTCTCCAAGATATCCTGTAAAGTGTGTGTTTAAGCCATTGGTACCACTTTTATTACAGTTTGTTTAACTACTTCTGCTTACTTTTCACCATGCTGTGTTACATATTCAGCCCGAGTGTGAAGCTGTGTTTAAAAACTAAACACAGAAACATCAGGTAGAAAATAGATTTAATATGGGACCCGTTACATATTCGTAATTGCCAGGAATTAAGCAGGGATGGTCCACTATTACAGACAGCTGAGGTGTTGATTCATGCTGTTTTACAGACTCTTCAGCAGTGTTGTAGGTGTGCACTTAAATCACGAGTCTGCCTTTTTACATAAACTAAACAGAGCACACTACTAAACATGTCTCATGCCATTTCTCTCCAACAGATGGAAATCCAGCACGAATGGAGGTGTAAATCTGAGTGGAGCTTATTTTCTTGCGCCCTGCTGGAGATACCTTTTCGATGTGGGAGTTAACAGAAGACAGGATTTTAAGTAAAGTTAAATGATGGCGGCGTCACGTTGGGTTCCCTCATGTGAAGATGATGACAGACAACGAGCAAGATCTTCTTTCTGTGAGGTAAGGAAGCCAAACATCGTTGTAAAGTAGTGGAATTTGTCAAATAGTGATCATGGAAATGTGTTTTTGTGTGTGTGTGGGATAACTGACTCTGTGGTGTCTGCCCTCTTTCAGTTTGCTTTCAGTGGGGGAGTAATTTGTTTGACACTGTGGCTCAGCTGTTTGTGCTTGTAACAGCTCCTGTTGGTTTGTTTTGCATCTTTTTTTCTTAACAATGCTTTAGTTTTTTTTATACCGTTGCTGCCATTTTGTTTTCTATTTTCTCTTGTAGGTGAACTGATCAAAAACAGGTCTTGGTTGCAGAGCAGCGTTTAATTAGTTAATTAATTTTATTCAGGCTCATCACTTGTGGAAGTGGGAGGAGACAATGGTGCGCCAGCGTTTTGTTCAAGTCCCGTCTTTCAGATTTTTAAGCTGTGACCTCTGTAATGCCAGACAGGACACCATCTGCTCCTCTGAAAGCTTGTTGCCTGAATGAAGACCTTCATGGTAAACTAGGTAGCAGCCCGTCCTCTTTGAAATTGAAGGGCATCTATTTATAGGATCGCTAGTTTTCTTTGATTTCTTCCTTTGCCTTTAATCTAATATTCAGCTTGCTTTTAAGCCTCCCTGTTTGTATTTGAATCGGCTGTAAGTGACTGCGGTAAACCTCGTTATGTTGTTACTTATAACAGGCAAGATGCACCGAATTTGATTTTATATCACTGAACAGAGCTGCTGGGAGGAAATAATACCTCAGCAACGTAGTAAATCAATTAGAAAGTAATACAGTCGGACTTATTAGGTTTCTTGTTAATTTATTCACATGAATGAGTTTTAAACAAGCACGTCGATCTGAAGCAAAGCCGACCAGTATGTCATACAAACAACATACACTGCAGCACACTGTTAGAGCTGATTTTGCTGAGTTAGTCTGCGTTGTATCCCTGTTTTTTTTTTTTTTTCCTTCTTCTTCACTATCACAGCTAAGAAAACAAACTCTTATGATGTGCTTACTTTTGTTATTACAGCAGCCTGGATACACCCTCTTAACTACTAAATGAATTTAATGAATGAACTTAATGTCATAGTATTTCTGATTCACAAAATGTACACACATCCCTTAAAAATAACTTCAGACAATATGCAGGTGTCAGTGTAGTAGAAAGGACTAAGTTGCATAACTTTTCATCACATGGCACCAAGTAGAGCAATCCTCTGCACAGTACACTAGAAACACGTTTTAGTAAATGTTCGTGTGGCGGCAGGAAAAGCCTCAGTACAGTGCAGTCAGTGGAAATCCTTCTTTGAGCGGCCCTTCTAATAAGACTACCACACAAACCAATTCATGTGCTAATTTTGAGCCGGAAACCCCCTGGAGTCTCTGTTCCTGGGATTTTCTGGAAATGATGACACTGTGGATTTAATTACTTAGTTTTACTTTTCATAGGCTGATGTTCTTTTTTTTTAAGTGTCTAAAAAAAAAAGTATGATGTTGTTAGATGATGGAGATCGGTTAAAAGACGCTGATAAATGCATTTGTTTTTATTCCGAGAAAGCGTGCCCCTCCTGCTCTTGTGAATGAGAAGTAGGGATTATACGAAGAGGATGGGTCACAGTCTCGGACGTAGTGAAGCTCATTTAGAGATTCTTAGTGACTAACTTAATAAAAAATGATGTAACAGATCCTATAAGAATCACATTTTTATCATGCTGTGTCTCAGAACATATTATAGTTATTATTATATAATTATAATATGTTATAATTCTGTACTGGGCATTTGCTCTTTTTTAACTTTTTATAACCATTATGAATTGGTTTAATCAAAAGTGTTTAGATACCATGCAGCCAAACATTTAATTTAAAAACACATAAAAAAGAAATTAGTCATTACTTGAATCAAGTATTTTGTTTTTGCTGGAAGTTAGATTTTTGTTTTTTTTTTCCTCTACACTGGAGTGTCTGTCTGCTTTATCAGCTGAATAGGGCATGGTATTCAAACATTGCAGCTGAATCCAAACAGCAGACACAGTCCTTCCTCTACTTGGATTCCTCTGCTCAGATATTTAGTTTGCAGCGCAGAGATTTTCGATTGGATGCTGATCAGTCTGCTGTTAGCACGATGACGTCTCTGGTAGCATTTTCTATTTTGGCCCTTGGACATTATTGTATTAAACTGGATCATGCAATTATTCAGAAACTTCTGTAGGATGAGTGGATTTTTCGTGGTGATAAGACCTGCTTTTCATTCCCCGGCAGAGCAACAGAAATGAGAATGGAGTGAAATGGATTATTGTTTTCGATAATGAAGCGTGATCCATATTTAGCACTGTAGGGGGGCTATTGACAAACAGACTCCCCCTGTCCCCACAGTCTTGGCTTCATTAAAGCTCAGTGTTTATCTCATTTAGGCTGGCTGCCTTTTACAGAACCCTCTGCGCAGGCATCATATGGCTAACTGATGGCAATCGGAAGGGAAAATTGCTCTTCAATTGGATAAAAGAAGTCTGTTACTTCCTGTTGCATTATGGTCGTGTCTGCAGTGTCTCAGGAGAAAACATAAGCGATGGCCTGTGTGATTCAGTTTTTACTCATCGTGCCAGTTCCGTGTAGTCAAACATCCATGTCATCTGAGATGGAAAAGCTTGTGATGTTTTTAGCGTCTTGTTGAAATAACTCGCATAGTCGCATAAAAGGCGAGTCATTAGGGACGGATTAAGCAAAAAGGCTGACATAGTTTCCCCTTTGAGCAACTGCTCACTAAATTCATTTTGTAGAAGAGAAACGATGGTTACAGATGAGCTTTATTAGCAAAAAAAACAATGTCTCAATTGATTAAAAAAAACTTTAAATACAAGTAGAAACTATAAACTCATTTAAAATATATACAATACCATACACAGCACAAGTTCCTAATGGTGGGGCTTTTTTTTAGCCTGAATAATTAAGTGTTGCTGGTTCCGGTGGATGCAGAGTGGCATCAAAACGGTTTATTCATCTGCTATTGTCTCTTTTTTTTCTGGGTGGACAGAAGATAACAGTTTGGGAGCACCCCTCTGTTTAATACAGTACCTCTGCAGATTTATCTGACACATCATTAAGCTACATTGCAAGCTTCACAAAGGTAATCTTTCAGCAGGACTAGTGCTGGGTCTGTTCTTTTATTAACACAAAAGATGAATGAATTTCAGTTTAGTGTGAACATTGTTTGTTCCTCAGCTCTACATGTGGTACATGGAGTGTCGTCTGCTGTTACAGAAACATTAGGGAGGCTTAAAAGTAATATTTTTGCTTTTTTTCTTGCAATTGCAGAAATATTGTAATCCTAACTAGCATTTTAGAAAGACATCCCGCATAAACGGCCGCCAAGGAATCATTCTGTCCTGTCCGTGTGTTACAACCGGGGTGCAGCATGCACCAAACACACCACGTGTCTGAGTAGACTGAGTAATGATACTCCTAACCTTGTCCTGCTGTACAAGGCTGGAACGCCCAGGGCTCACCAGCGTCCCTCCGTATCATTATCTTAGGCTTTTCACAGCTAAGTGCTTGGTTTGGATGGGATGTGGTGTAGAATTTAGCAGCCCACAGAGAACTAGGTTTCTTCACATTTTAAGGTTGTGTGCTTGTCTGGTGTTTATGGAGCTGATGTCATGTGGTGCTTGTGATGTGTCATTTGGTGATGTCAGCAGAGGTTTTCAGACATACAGGCCATGCATTGTGGTTTCATAATAGTTGTTTAAAAATAGACAAGGTGGAAATTCCAGTTGCCTTGTCGGTGTGTAGCCTCTAGATATCAAAATTTGTGGTGTGTAAACATCTGTGCGTGTACAGTGATTCCCCTGAAATTTAGGGGTGGTATTGGTTTTTCGTGTCCTCTAATCTCCATCGTGGGGGAACCTCTGACATACTTACCTTACAATTTCTTCAACCACATGTACTGAGGATTTATTATGTCATTGAAAACAATGGGAAAAGCAGTGTGCCGTTTGTCAAAGAATATTTGCTTTTGAAGACTTTTTTTTTGGTTTTATGTTGATGCGTGTGAATAACATATGACGCTCAGAATAGCCCAGTAAAGAACTTAAATCTAAATGGATGAGAATGGGTTTCAATCTTAACCATAGCTCATTCAATATTGCGGCCTTGTTAAAATATGTTACACAATGTCTGACAAAATTGTTTATTGCTATCCAGGAAATGCTGTTGCATGGTTGCCATCTATATATAATATAGAACCTAATAAAAATACCAGCCTTAGATGGTGCAGTGCCAGTTCCATTATGCGTTAATTTATTACCGAGGGAAGTGTGTAAAGGATGAGGATCAACTGATGACGGATGCCAGGAACAGACAAAAACCAACAGTCTGTTCGCCGTTCAAACTTCCCAGCCTGTCCGTAGCTTTCAGGGCCAATTCCATTCATTCAGACTGTAGAGGCAACACTTTGAAAATGACTCAGACTATTAGATATTGTAGTTTATAGCAAATGTCACTCGGGCATGAGTAGATAATGCATTTGTTGGGCTACTTTCAGGTGTGGATTAATACTCATTTGGTGTTCTGGTGAGTTACATCAGCAGGGTGTAAATACTAGTAGAGCACCATTAGATTGACTCAATAAACAACAGCAGCCTTGTTCATCGTAATAATAAAAAAAACAACACGTCAACCAGCGTGACAGTGTTGCTTATTGGCGTGTTTTTAACTGTTTTAAGACAAGAATAGTGCTGTGGCATAGAAGAAACAAGCCACTGTATATTGTTCTTTTGCTAAGAGGCTGAAAGGTCAGCTCACTGTTTGTTGACACAGGTTTGTTAATTGGGAAGTGGGATCTGGTGATAGAAATCTGTGCTCATGCCCTGAGACACAGGCCTGGTCACTTTTCATTTCCAGGAGATATCCAACCGAGGAACAAATGCCTGCTGAAAGCCTTCCTCCAGCTGCCTCACCCAGTGCAAATATCAGTCTGGCATTCTGGTGATTCATAAATGGGTGAGAGGCATTCATTTGTGGGCAGGAAAGGATAGGTGTGTGTTTTGATGTGGGTGTTCCTTTCATGTGCTTTTCTTAGCCCCTTATTTCACAAGTCATACGTTTCTACTTATAGTTTAATCAGGTCTACGAGGTTTACACTGGAGTCTGTTCTGTTTCCTAATAATAGATGTTTTCTTATTAAATAAGGGAAAACAGGAGGCCGCGTCTGGAATTTATTGACCTGGAATGTCACAACAGTATTAACTATGCAAGTGGCAATGATAACACTGCATGGCATGCGTCTGTCGGGAGGCCCACACCCCCTTCTGTCGTCCACGTCTAAAGATCAGAGGGTTGGAAATTGCCGTGTGCACTAGCTGCTAAATCAGATCCAGTCCAGGGACTGGCCTGCCCTGGAGACATGAGGGCAGCAGTGCAGGCATTTCAAACATCCAGTTGATCTATAGTTATATCACCAGAAGCACTTCTCTGGGAACAGATTTAAATGTTTTCTAGTGTTGAGAAGACACGCAGGACTCTCACAGACACAGACTTTAGCATTAGAAGTGCTTGTATCGCAGAACAGCCGAAGTTTGGCTATGCACAGTAAAACCTGTTTTGCTAGTTTCATCAAAATGCTTGGGTGTTAGCTGCACCTGCAGCTCTGTTTCCCAGCCTGCCAATAGTGCAGTGGGCACTTACACACGTGCAGTATCCACATCTGAGCTCTTATTATGTACTCAACAGCTCAAGTTGCCACTTTAAATAATCTTTGATTCAAGTGGTTTGTGTTTTTCTGAACTATATGGTTGAAAAGCATAGTAACAAGGTTGTTGAGAAGGCTGCAAAAAGCACAGTGAAACATGCTTTAACTTGGTACACACCTCCAGGCACACACAGTATTTCTAATGAGCAATGATGTGTGAAACTGAACATTCATTCTGTGACATAGTCAGAAGGTAGATGGGATGTTCGTAGTTTCAAGATCGTGTGAACAGTTTGTTCACACGATCATGTTGTTTTTTCAAATGTGGTTTGGCTCATTTGCTGTTGCCTTCAACAGCTGGATTAAGTTGGATAACTGTTCTGATTCAGTTTCTCTTCTACCTAAAACTTGCCTGTCACATGTGGAGTTTTAGGTTCACTCGTAGACAAACCTCTTGCAAATTCTTTGCTTATCACCGGTTGTGTTAACATGCATGTAACTCATTCTGATTTTTTCACATTTTACTCAGCATATCTGCTGAGGCAGAGATAGCGTGAATGCAAGCTCATCAAATTCCTCACACTGAGGGGGAAAGTCTACGCTTTAGGGTGGAAGGGGGGTTGAGACAGGGAGAGATAAAATAGTTTTTAGTGTAGAAGTGCAGGACTGATTGAACAGAGGTGTATCTGAAAGTCATACCAGAACAGGCAATATGATATATAGACATCTGAGGAACGGGAGTGTTGCTGCACACATGATACCTAAAAGGTGTGACGCTATAAAAAGCATGTAAACACAGGAGTGGGTGTCCAAAGCTGTGACGCCTGACACGCTCTGGTCCAGCTGTGAAATGACTGAACTGTAAACACTGGACAGCCACTAATGTTTTCCAAAAACCCTTTCTCCTTTGCACTATGCCCAACTTTATTTAAAACTTTATTTGTGTTAGTGTACAGCAAGTACAATAAAAAAGATCATATGTTGATGCGGCTTAGCTTTTACATCTGGTGTTTCTCTGTTACCCTTTTCTATTGATTTTAGCACTGCACTGTTCTTTTCCAGGATTACATAGCTAGATTCACAGCAGAAATCTGTAAGATCCCCTTGTGATTTTAAGCAGTACTTATTTTGAATTCCTTTTTTCAATTTTTGTCTTTGTTCAGAGCGATTCTCAAGAGTGGAGGAACTTGGCCGATTCTCCTGCAGCGCAATACCCGACAGAGGATGAGGTGTTTTCGTGGCCAAGGCCTAAAACTGTGCGTTTATGTCGCACGTCGCAAGGGTTCGGCTTCACTCTCCGGCACTTCATCGTGTACCCACCGGAGTCAACACTACACTGCTTCCTGGTAAATTTCAGAGATTATACAGGACTGGCTTGTTTGACGCTTTCATGAATTTCATAGACCTTGGTATTGTTTGTTTTTTTATCACATGAGATTACACTGTGTCAACAAGAATCTTGATACCTGAATTCTGTGACCGTGAACAAGAAAGTCACTTGAGTATTCCTGTGTTTTTTTTTACAGGAGGAAGATCATGGCCGCAGAGGTAAGCAGAAAATTTTGGCTGCTCTTCTTAATTCCTGCCCATCAGCACTGCTGAGTCAGAGCAGTGCCTCTGACTTCTAATAACTCTTAATCCATGCACTCTCTGGCTCTTTTTGCTTCCTTATGCTACGAGAACAATGTAGCTCCTATGTGTCACTGACCTTTGTGGAGGCATGAAAGGTTTGGTCAGCACCACCTGTTTCTGTCCTGCACTGATCCACCTCATATTGTTTCACTTTGTTGTTCTTGCTGCTTTTTTTCCCCTCACCGTAAAAAGGCTGTCAGAAAGAGATGGCCTCAGATTTTACTGGGTTGTGTGTTTGCTTCTCTTTGTCACCGCGTATACGTTCAGGTTTTCTCTCCAAATTAGGTAAAAGCTTCACAGAAAGTCGTCAGCGTGAGTTAGTGTTGAATTGTTTCAACGTCTTGTGCAAAGTAATTCATGCATCAAACCTGCATTTTGAAAACAAGTGGTTTAGTCCAAAAAAAGACAAACAAAGGTGGTAAACAGACTTGTTATTTAGAAACAAATCCTGCAGGCTCTGAAAGTACAAAAGATTGATACCAGAAATAGCAGATATAATAGAAACAGTAATGATAGCTAAATGTTTCATTCCTCTGCTCTTGATAAAGTCGGAGCTCATCAGTTTTGTGTTAATCGATTCGCATCCAGAGAATATGATGGAGACAAAATAATTCATTTGTATTGCCTGTGAAGGTTTAATTGATGACAATAATCAGTAATCACAATGACCACTGTAATATCTTATGACAAAACATTTCAATTTGTCTCTTTTGATTTTTATCCAACAAGACTTGGAACGACTCAGTTTCATTTTCAACGCTGTGTAGTTGCCAAGAAAGTAATTTTAAACTTTCAAATCTTGTGAGATATTGTTCGTAAGAGAGAAAAAGATGTGCTTTGCTTACTGGGGTCTCCCCAACTGGAGAACACAAAATTGAATTAGGATTTTTTTCACATGGCTTAAACTGTGGACTGCAAAATGTCCACAGAGCTGTTTGCAGGAGCTTGTTTGAGGGATTAACTCTTTGCTTAATGACGAGGCCGCTGTCACTGCGCTTCGTCTGGGTGGATGCCAGTAATTTTACGAGACATTTATATTAATCAGAGAGAAAACATGTTGTACAGGAAAGCGCCACTGTAATTCATCCGACACACGTTGAGGAAGTAAATTACTGTACGCACAAGTCATCTTTTTGTTTTCGTTAGACAAGGGAAACTCCACAAATTCCTCATCATCTCCAGTTGTGAAAGTGTTACGATTAGTGCCAGTGCTATTGTTGTTTTAGATGGTGTTTTTACTCAGCAAAGAAGACAGCAAAAACAACATTACCATTGTGTTAAGTTCGTTTAACAGGTACATCTTTATAGTTTACTCACACACAGAACAACATGATGACAAACTCAGATATTTGTCATAAATAGTATGGAATAATAAAGCAGATTATACAGAAGCCTTTTAAACAATAGTGTCACAGTTTTTCAAGTCTGTCTTAAAACATTGTTCAGTTTGCACATATGATGCACAGTGAAAAGCTGCTTGCTGTAGGCAGGCCTCCTGTTTGTACCATTAAGAGATAGTTTTATTATATATTTCCAGTACAGTTTTTGAGGAGACAATAGTTGCGGCAAAAGTAAGTTTGAAACTTTATCTGACCTACTCAGATCAAGTAGGCGTGTTTCAAAGTTACAGTATTTAAAATTCAGAATTCCCTCTTTGGGGTTATTCTTCTTTTTCAGAGATTGTTTGAAAAGGGGAATATGGTCAAAACACAAGACAGATTTTCATACCTAAAAAGCTGTAACTTTAAAAGACATCCAATTTAATGTGCATCTTCCACAGCACATGGCATAGCCGTTGATCCTGACAGAAACTCCTCTAAATGGCAAATGCACCATCTTTCCATAACCACATGTTAAATTGGTGTTGTGGTGTCGCATTTCCAGTTGTGAACTCTGCCTGTGACCCCCTTTGTGATTTCTGCAACAACAGGGAAATGCTGGAAAGCATACACTGAGCTTGGACATTGTCCAAACGTTAACTTCATGTAACAGAGCAGAAGAGACTGCGCTTGTTAAAGCAAATATGATTTAGGTTTCCCCCAAAAACTTAAACACAAAGGACAAAGGCTCCTTATCTGGAGCTTTGCTGCTTTGGACTGAGTAAGCCAGAGAATATTAAAGAATCCTGGCAGTTTTATAATGCCGCACACAAGGCAGCAAGCCAGAACTGAAGAAGAAGGAAAAAGTCACCCCGAGATGATACAAATACAAACGCTGGCTTGCAATAGGCGGCCACCAGAAGGGGGAGGATAGAGCAGCTCTGTCGTATCTCTGATGCAGTCTTCTTTTAAATTACGTTATGGCACTTACTGCACTCTTCAGATACAAATATACCATGTTTGTATTTTTTAAGTGCAGTCTGTAGGACAGCAAAGAGTTTTCACAGAAACAAGTATAGACATATTATAAGCCAGTATTACAGTAAATACAGTTTTTGAGCATTTATAGGAACCAAATTGGCATAAGTGAGAAAACAACAGAATGGAACAGAATTCAGGGGCCGGACTCGACAGCCACCATGTGGAGAACAGTCCTACAAAGACTTGTTTATCAAGGGTAACTACCACGATTTTTATCTGAGAGATATTAAGGATTTAAGTCACTTCATCTAATGTTTATCACACAATGGCTTTGAAGGTCAGACAGTCAGCGGCAGCACCTATCCTGGTGGCATTTTGGGATTATTAGAAATTTTTTGCAGGTTTTGGAAAATGAAAATTAGTGGAGGTTCTATAGCAACAAATATAAATCACACCTAAGACGTTCCCTCATATTGCAGAACAATTTGTCAAAACATCAACAACCTGTATTTGTAATAACTATAACTGATCTACTCCATTTGGGTTTGCTAATGGCCAAAACAATCATAATGTTTGGTGCTAAACTTCCCCGTGTGTCGTAAGAATACATTGCATCCACCTAAAACAGCTCATCTGTATCTTACACACAATTCAGACCTCTTGTCTTTGACCTTTGCTTGCTGTAAAGACAAGTGACGTCATTCTGTTTATATCCGTGTGACATAACTGATCATTCGGATAAAGGATGCTTTTATTCCGAAGAAAGCAGCGTGGGTCAAAATGTGAATGTATGTATAAAAACATTGCATCTGGGTTATGAGTGTGCTGTTCTTGCCGTTCCACAGTGTCACACCACTATCAATTCTCTTATTGTGCTCGACTCTGTTGCTTCCCCGCACAAAGCTCTTCTGTCATGACTCTGGGGTCAAGTTTGGGTGCACTACTGATCTAATGTTCACTTGTCAAGCGCTCGTTCTCTCTCACATCAAACAGCCTGTATTTTACCTAAGTTAACGCTTATTGGGTATAGACTTCGATGTTTGCTTTGAAGAGATCATTTTTAAAGGCTTTATTCAGTTTCTGCTCATGTAAATTTACTTCATAACGCAGTGGTTTTTTTTTTTTTCTGCAGTCCGCATTAGCTTTACAGCGAATGATCATAAACGCGAGGCAGCTGTTGGCACAAAACCCTCTCTCGCTGTGTTTGCTGAGTGATTAAAATAGTGCACATAAAAATCTGGCAATGTTTTCATTTTCTTGGACAGGGTTTCTCTGGTTTTAAACGAACCCTCCAACATTCTGGGATATGTGCTTGTTTATGTCTCTGTGCTGAACACGGAGGGATAAGCGTCATACTGATCTGATTTCGGGTAATAAGGCCAACAAAATAAATTTACCAAAAACCTGCAAATATTTCTGAAATGCTTAGGTGCCAGCAGCTGCAATGGTGAGGTGATGAGTTTATTGCATGATCTATGGTATGGTGGTCCCTCAGAGAGTAAAATTTAAAATTCAAAATACATTAAAGTGTTCATAGTAGCTCTTCTATGGATTTGTGAACAGCTCCATTGAGGAAATAGAGATGCAACCCTAGAGCACACCACCAGAGGGCGTGTGTCTCACTTCTGCACTAGCATGGGACTCCTGTACGGTATTACATAATGTGAGTCTCCAGGATGTGATTCTGCATGAGTAATCTCATGTGTGGAAAGGAGGAAAAATGGAGTCACGAGTGTGTCAGTATAAGTGAGGTTCACAAGGTTTAAAAATCACTGGCTTGAGTAGTTAACTGAGCACTAAATTATATTAACCCAGTGTCTCTCTGTCACATCACAACATTCAGATATTAGGGCTGCATGTGTCAGAGGTCATTGATTTGATTAAGTTTTCCTTTTTATTGATGATGGTAAACTTTCTTTTAATTATTGTGCCAGAATTTTTAAACAGCACATAGTAAATTGTTTTTAACCGTCACGCCTGCTGTCATGCTGGCCTTCCCGTCCGCTGCAGTGTGCGAGGTATCGTGCGTTGACTCACAACCAGAGCGTTAACTACCAGGGCAGGATTTTCGCCACTCTTTGGCTGTGCTCGGAGCTATTTCTCAGTTTATAAGGAAAGAGTGGGAGTCGAGCAGCTGAACACACTGTCACTCTACCTTCTCTTAATCTCTCTTTCTCTCACTTTCCCTTTCTTTTCTTTCCTTTTTTTTTCTGTGGCTGTGCAGCTGCTAGGAGACAGGAGCAGCATGAGCAAACAGGTTTTTCTCTCTTTAGCAACTTTTATCCATCTCCTGAAAACCACACAATTTCCCCCTATTGAGATTTTCTCTCTCAACTAATTAATGACCATGTCTATTCAAAAACTTTGCAAGCACTGGGCAGCACACAGCCTGTTTTGCTGTCATAATGTTGAATCACATTCTTCCAAATCTTGTGACAAACTTCCCAGTTTCACTCCTTCTCGTACACAACCATGCTCTCTTCTCACCCAAATGTCATTAAGTAATTTACTACTCAGTTTGGTAGTTATCAGTAGGCTAGTAGTCGCTTTTTACATTTTAGGTTCAGTCTTGGTGCAAGTGAGAGGTTGTAAACAAACATGCTGTGTAGCTCTGCTTGTATTGGAGTCATGTATTTACTATATATTTAATGTTTTAATGTTTTTGCTTTAGGTCCTTTACATTTAGCATTTGATATATCAGCAAGCTGTTAACTTTGAACCTCTGTCTGTTTGTCATTTTGGAAAGCTGATGAAAATGTGCCTTTGCAAAACTAACCTGCATTACATTTGATGTTTTTTTTTCATGTGCTTCTATTGTGTATTGTTTGCTAAATTTATACTCCTTTCTTTACTATTATCAGGGAGACAGCGGAATAGGCTTGAACAGATGGACACTATTTTCGTGAAGCAAGTCAAAGAAGGCGGGCCTGCTCATGGAGCGGGGCTTTGCACAGGTAATAATCAGTCATCAATCAATCAGTCTCCTTTTATTTTGAAAACATTTTTTTGTTTGGAACTGTAAGTACCTGCAAGTTATCATATTACATCAGCAGCAACATAATCCTGTGACAGAACAGAAAACGTCCTGTACTCTGTTGTACTATTGCAAGCAAAAGGCAAAAAAATGCAAAGAGTGCAGTTTTCAGTTGTGGCCTGAGAGTACTGCTGCTGTGCAGCAGAACATCATTCAGCATGTGTAGTTGTAGGGAAGTGGTCTGATTTCTGCTACTTTTGGTGACCACACCAGTGATTTTTACGTTGAAGTCAAACCAGAGAACTTTGACCGCACTTTCTGTAAACTTGTGCCATCTGACTAATTTTAGATGTTTGCTTTCTTTTTCCACTCTGTGACTAAAGGCCCACTTCTCCTTTGTCATGAGCATGGGCTCTGCCATCTTAAGTCCAACAGCTCACAGTCTTACCAGGGCTCTTTGTCACTGATGTCATTGCTGCTGTTTTCTGTTGAATATTAGGTGATCGCATAGTGAAGGTGAATGGAGCAAGCATCATTGGGAAAGCCTATTGTGAGGTTATATCCTTGATCCAAGACAGGTAAGGTTGAATGCATATTCGTGTGGTTGATTGTGAGTCATTTGGTGCACTAACCTTGTTTTAACAATCTCCTTTGATCCTCCCCTGCAGTGGGGACTTTCTCGAACTTTGTGTAATGCCAAAAGACGAGGATATACTGCAACTGGTAAGTTTTGCTCTACAGTGCTGTTTTCTACTTGGACTTCAACTCACAGCAGAACTCTGTCTGAACAACTTTTTTTTAAATGCTCCCTTTTTGTCCCATCCCGCAATAATTTACTTTCCATCACAGTGCTGCTCCAGTTTTAGGTTTTCATGTTGGGACAGGAGTCATGAGATGCGGCAGCCGGCCTATCCCATCAGAGCTCTCTATCTAGGCCTTCTAATGAGGCCAGAGCAGCCTTTCTGTCCTACAGAACTGCTGCTGACACTACTGCTGAAATGGCCTAAATGGAGTGCTCGAGCAAGCATTACCAAAAATACATATACAGACATATTAATAGAGAGTATAATAAAGAACCACTTCTGTAAAGGTCATTAATTTTCAGTTGTCAAAGGCACAAAGGTAATAATGTATTTTATAAAGTGTCTTTAAACTTTGTTCTATATAGAGTTTCACACCAAGTAAGATGGAAACCAACAAGGAAGTTCACTAAAACAGAGGTTTTCTGGTAACTGGTGTATGTTTCATCATCAGATGATCGTGTAGTGGCATGCTCTCCTGTATGACTGGAGTACTGCACTGTCAAGGCAGCAGCTGCATAATGACGTTACTGTCTGTAGTTCAGCAAAAAGTAGAGTAGTTAGTTAGTAGAGACGTGGCATTAACGTGTAAATGCCATGAAATAGCAACATCTGAGCTGTGCGTGTTGAAGGCATGATGTGAAAGTGTGAAACCAAAGGCCTATAGGTTATTTCTCAGAAGAACTACGACATTAGAAAGAAAATGGCAGCTGGAAGCTAATTTTTAAGCATGTCTAAATGTCATAGACAGAGATCTTCTGTGGAGCAGTCAAAGCAGTAAATGAGGTTGTTCGTCAATGAATAAGACCAAAGAAGTCTGTTTCGGGGTTGGACTCTGATGGTTGGTTCCATCTTGCAGCAAACTAGCTGGATCTGGTAAGCTCAAGTGCTGATGAGTGTCTTTTTAAAGTTTTGAGACTTTGTCCTTTTCTACTAGACTGCTGTAAAAAAAAAATGTTTTGGTGAGGATAGACAGGCTCTGGTTTATTTACAATTACTAATGTGACACTGAAACATAGGCCTGTTGGCTAATGTGCTTGTTTTGAAGCTGCTGTCTGACCATTTTGTTCAATTTAAATAAATATACTGATCATATTACCCTTTAGTTCTGCATCAGGCACTTCAATATTTGGATAGTTTGTGGGGAAAAAAACAGATTAGAGATGTGCTATAGCTGTAGCTTCTGCACCAGATCAATCATTTGCAACTAGCAAAAATCATCATTTCACATCTGCCAGTTCTACCTTGAAGTTGTGTAAATTGACTATACGCCCTTATTTTTTAACTACCCTAAGAATTGTAGTACTTCTGTTTTTCAGGCAACAACAGGCCATTAAATAAACTTTAGTCATTTGTAACTTAAGTTAATAGCAAATGATGAAAGCTGAATTTAGTAACGTTCCAGAAGGGAATCACTGGATTCTGATTTTGATTAGTGGAATACTGAATTCAAATTCCATAAAATGTGTACATCACACATATATTTCCTTCATATTTTTATTTGTGTTCAAATTTAGCGCAAGGACTCTTGTGTGGAGCTTGCTTAAATGTTGTCATTCTACTCTTTTAATTGATTATATATTTGTAGATATTAACTTAGCCCAAGCTAGAAAATTAGGTGTTCCTCTCTAGAAATCAATGTTCAAATATATAGTCCTTACTGTTTATCTCTGATTTAATTATACAGGTTTTATATGTGGACTTCATCATTGTTGCTTATCCGAATCTTGCTCCACTGAAATCGATCATAAATATTGAATGTGCCAAAACTATTTTAAGAACAGAGATAAGCCTTCGTACCTGTCCGCAGTAAAGATCTCAGCAGTAATGTTTTATGCATGCTGCAGGCGGCTGTTAGTGGATACTATACGTTCTGCACATTCAAGGGAAAGCGAAGGTGCACTCATCTGTTCCATATCTATAGCAAATAACTCCAAGTGCTTTGTCAGGATGCTCGGGAATCTTTTCCCTGGGGCTTATTGTTATCTGACTGCCTGTTTATGAATTACATAATGAAAGAGCAGGGCACTTTGGTATGCCACAACATTTTCCCAGGGGATCCTTTATAGCCAGATTAAATCCTCATAATTAACTGGATAGTTAATTCAATTAATAATTTATTGGTATCCAGAATTACAATATCAATATCTATTATCATGTCTCTTTAAGCACCATGCCATTCTGAAAATCTAGCACATTTAAAACATCGTGTCAGTGCTGGTGTTTGTGTTAAGAAAATGTTATCCTGAGTAAACTAAAAATTAAGCTTGTAATGTCCCAGAAAAATAAAATGTCAGTCACAGCCACTTAACCCTCTTATGTTTATTAAAAATTAATTTTCTTCTTTCTGATTACCACCTACTCCACCCGTCTTCCCTGTTAGGTCCTCCCCCTCTCTACAATCTATGTTTTTCCCACACAGTCCGCTCTATCTGACACGTGTGTAGCGTTACCGCTGGCCACAGTATTACACAGCCATTGGCAAGCAGCCACACAAAAAATATCTAATTAATGTAGGCAAGCAAACGGATGAGCTGTCCATAAGAACAAGAGGATTATCAGAGATGCTAGCAGCAAAAACATTGCGCTGTAGGAGGCAGCACACACTGACTGCTTGGAGACAGGCAGCAGTTGCTTAGCAAAGAGAAGGAGAGATTGAACATTCAAGCAGCAGAAAAGGGAGGGAACCGTACGCTATGAAAGCAGAGAAAATACTGAGCAGGGAAGAAAACGAGGGAACAGCATGAATGATGAGCTGAAACAAGTAGATAAAATCAGCTGACTGCCCTGTGTTTTGAACAGGTTGACGCTCAGGGAAAAGGAGAGAGGAGGAAGGAGTGGGAGGGGGAGCTGTACCATCACAGCTGAATGTATAATCAGCAGCTGCTGCTTCTGTCATGTGAGCAATAGCAAAGGGAGGGAGAGAGAGAGAGACATAGACTGGAGGCACCTTGTTCAGTTAGCGTAATATTCTGGCTGAAGATGGATAGAACCATGAAGACTTAACAGCAGCATGAGAGGCGAGCTTCTGCTGCTGTCACCTCACCCAGGACAGACTGGCACAGGCAGGTCGTAACGTGGCAACCCCTGCTACATCTTTGCTTCTTCATCCCTCTGTACTGCTGCTGCAGCTCTAGTGTATTTTTAGCATGTCAAGCCCAGGCATTGCAATGGCTATTTCATGTTCTCTCCTCTTTGAATCTGTTCTGTTTCTTACAATGTGTCCATTTTGCTCTGCTGGCATTTTTTCCTCTCCCTCTCTCTCTCTCTCTCTCCCATGATTTCTTAACGCTCTTGTTTTCACTTGCTGTAACGGCAGCCTTTTTCTCGGGAGACAACTAATCTGGTAAGGAAACAGCTCACTGGGTAGCTACTTGATGTTGACATGTTGTACTTGCTGTGTCATTTTGCATATGTCATGCGTGTCATCATGGTCATGGCAAGATGTTGTCTCCAGATTTTACGTTATTGCTGTTCGGTTTCCTCGGATGAGTATTTAGTGGTCAGCTCTGCGCTTCCGATTCAAATGTGTAGACTGTAGAAATGGCCGATTCACTGTGCCTGCAGTACCTGTTAGATTGAGCGCTCGAGTTGGCATCCAGCTGGCATCTCAGTGAAGCCTCGCCCGTTCTTCATCCTCCATGCCTGATGTCATTAGTGTGATAAATGCTGTTGACCTCTGAACTCTCCTGTACAGTCATGCTTGCAAAGGGAGGAACTGAGGCTGGCACTGATTGCTGTGTTATTAACACACACACAGCTTTATGTAAGATTGTAATTTAACACCACGTTGGAGCAGGATCAGAGTCCTCGTACCTTTACCTGTGCCTTGCTTGTTGTGTGTGTGGTTTGTTATGAGTGTAGCAGATGAATATTGCGAGCCTTGCAAGCACATAGTTCATGTCCTGGAAGAAGCTCCAGTTGTAATTGTCTGTTGATTTAAGAGGATTTTATTAGTATCAACAATGAAATAGTATAGGCTTCCAAACCTTGGTCGATAATCAGGCAGGCTAAATATAGCACTTTCTCTATGAGGGATGGGCGACCTGCTGTCTGTCTGAGGTTACAGTCTGTCAGTCTGAGGTGGGTAAGTGAAGGCACTGGCTACCTATCCACATTTATCAGCAATTTGTGCCGGTTTTTATGTCCTCACATTTGGTCAAATATCTCAGTGGATATGTGAATGTATTTCTGTACAATCATTGTAGTTAAGGCTAAATATTGAGTTCAGTAGAAATGCACACCATTTCATAATTACCTTATGGTGTTTGCAGCTGTAGTTGGTGTTTATTTCTTGCACAGGTGGATGCTTTTTTTCTGTCATACTTAAAATCCCACACCGTTGTTGTTGGAAGTGCACAGGCAGGAACATCGGAGAAAGATTGATGTACCATAAAAATGTTGTTTGAAGGATCGTTGGTAAAAGTCTGTTTGTTATAAAATCTTTTTTTTTTTTTTTTTAAGCTGTGGTTTATATTCTGTATTATACCAATCATCACCATGAGAATTCTAAATAAGGAACAGATGAAGACCAGTGACACCCCTGAACTGCCTGAAACGCCTCCGCTCACTCATACTGCAACATGCACTGCCCACACACTAGCATCCAGTAACATTTGTAATATCACACTTGACTTCTCTGTAAGCATCGAGTACCACACTGTTGAATATTACACACACTCTCAATTGTTACTTGTGCTTCTCTATTGTAACGCAGCTGTGTTTCTCTGTCTTTAGGCCTACTCCCAGGATGCCTACCTCCGTGGCCACAGTACCTACAGTGGAAACGCCTGTCACATTCCTGATCCACCCCCAGTATGCTACCCCAGAGTAGACTGTAAGCCTACGGGCATGGCCCAGGCGACAGACTCAGCGGGGCAGGTCTGCCGAGGGCCAGCAGCACCTCCTGACCATGGGTACCGCAAGGAGATCCCCGTGCCCCCATCTCCTCCTCCTCCTCAGTCATATCCCAAAAGCCAGACGGCGGTGTGCATGCGCAACGACAGTGTGAGGACTGTGGTGGTTCCTCCTAATACGACCCATATGGGGCGCATGGGTCCAGCACACAGGATAGACTTCATGGACCCTGTGTTTGCTAGGGGGAGGCCTGGGTCACTGGCCCAGTATCCTCACCCTCGAAAGGCTGATGTCTATCCAGGTGGTCCAGGAATGGTTGGATACGGAGGTCAGGCACCTCACTTCCCCGGAAACCATCAAAACATTGATTGGCGCACCTACCAAACATACAGGGAGTACATTGACAACAAAGGAATCCATTCCCATGGTAGTCGGACTATCCAGGAGAGGCTGGACAATTTGCGATCGACCAGTCACGCCACCTTTGGCGCTTCTCATCACATTCCCCGAGGAGACTGGGGCCCTAAGGGGATACGACGGAGGAGTACCTCCCATGAACGGTCATACCAAGGACCTCCACCCCACTTTCAGATTGCCCCACGCAGTGCCTCGCAGGACCGCATGAGCAGTGCAGAGAAGATGAGCCATGCAAGGAACTGGCCACCTCGAAGTGTGTCCCAGGATGGCCTAGTTCACAAAGCCCGGGCACGTTCCACAGACTACGTTGACCCTGCAGAGCTGGCTCGGCCCAGTGAGAGGAGAGCAGGGTATGGAAGGGCAGACCAAGGTACGAGGCCCAGCAGACAGTCTATCCCCAGACATGCCATGCTCTACAGGCCTTCTGTTGGACACAGTGGCATGAGGGGGCCACCAAACCCTTCTCTTTACTCTAAAGGACCAGATTCTCTTCAGACCCGCTCCTCGCCCATGCTGTCCGACAGACCCAGACATTTTGGAAAGAGCACAAGTGCTGAACATTCTTTCGCTGACCAAAGACTTTCAGTCAAAGGAAACCATGCAGCCTACAGCACCCAAGGCCAGAACAGGATGCGGGCGGAAACCATGCAGCCTGTCGAGGCAGGCAGAGATGCAGCATTGGCGGCACACAGGTCTTCTTCATGCTCTACTCCGAAAGAAATGCCTCAGAGGCCTAGCATCCTCAAGCCACCCCCGCTAGAGTTACAGTGTCAGGTCAATGGCCGAAGCCCCACGGAGAGCGGCGTGGTTCTTAGGGAGAAGCCTCCCTCTGGTAAGAACCCGAGCCCCCTGCGGCACCCCTCCTACATCCTGGCTGTAAACGACGACGGCCCCGACTCCACGACAGATGTGTCGGCGTGCTGGCTGCCCAATGATGCACGTCGAGAGATACATATACGTCGCCTTGGAGAACAATGTCACACCTCCTGCTCCAGCAACCTGGATGAATCTCTGGACTCCATTCCATTCATCGGTAAGAGAATAATCAGTAGTAAGCCTTGCCGCCCCATGTTGTCATGGCAACAACAGCAGGCAGTAGTAACGTGGTTCAGACCGTGGTTCAGTGCTAATGCTGCTGCTAGTTTAATAGCCCTAGTGGAGCTTTCTAACAGACAGCTGTAGTTTCACTGTTAATCTAATTTGGTGTGTTATTGGTGTGAGTAAATATAGTGTTGGGGAAATGCTCACAGATAAATTAATCTCCCTGGGAAGATGTTATTAATCAGGTTTTGTGGCATTCAGAGAGGGTTTGTGGGATATTTGACTTAACCAGGGCGGAGTGAAAGATGACTTAAGCCTTTTGGCATATATTGAATTTCTCCCCTTAATACATTGTTTTCTTGGATGTGCTCTCTTCAGAACAGATTGCATTATGGTTCACTTGGCTCATAATGGATTTGGAGGTGATTAAATTGTTGTCATCTCAGAAACAACAGCCCTGACCATGCACATATCACGTGTTTCGAAGTGCTCTTAAAAGCAGTATCCAGAAGGGTTTTAACCCATATCCTTAAAGAGTTTACAAGAGTGTTTTGCTTCTGGCTGCTGTGTTCCAGGTTTTATGAAGCACACATCTGAAATTTTTAGTCGAGACTTAAAGAATCTGTTGTAATCAGTTCAGCGCTGTGAAAATATTCATAATTAATAAGAACACGGAGTATGTTCGGTGGTGTGGCTTGATGAGAATATTGCTGTAGTTACATTGCTGGAGGCAAGACTAAGTATGCGGAACGAGGACCTTTTAGATCTCTTAGGTGTTGTTTAGAATCTATTGCCAGATTCAAACTGTAGCACATACGTTATATTCACATATATTTTTTGTTTTGTGCATCTCTCTTTGTTTCTCTCTCCATCTGTCTCGCTACATATATGTATTATGTATGTTTGGGTATCTGTCCGTCCATCTGTCTGCCTCTTCCAGGCTATGTGTGATACCACATAATGTAGTCGTGTGGAAAAGGTGGTGCTTTGTGTTATTTGCAGTTGATTTTTACCGCATTTGGTGCAGCTTTTAGTGTTGCTTGTGTATGATGAGGCTAGAGAAATAATCAGCCCCTGATCACAAAAAATATCTAAGATGGATTTGCCTCCAGATTGAAAGAACCCAATCAGCATATTTTTGTGCTTGTAACTTCTGTATTGGATGGATGAAGCACATATTTTTTGGAAGGACACAAAAAGAACATTTTGTATTTTGCAGGTGGACCATATGAAGGAACTAGGTCATAGGCAGTGAAACTACTGGAAGATTTTAGCTTGACCCATGGGGGGAAAAAAATCAGTTTTGGATTTAAATATAGGTCTACTTGAAGGGTGTCCAGTGCAAGGTACATGTAGCTTATAGGAAGAAAGTTAGATTACAGTTGAAGGTGCTTAATTCACAAATCTCAAAGGTAAATACTTTTTTAAGTTTTAGACCGTTAATGAGGAATCGACACACTTCTGGTTTACTCTGTGAGGGTGTTTTAATTTTGTTAAAACAGATTTTGATTTAATTCTAGACTGTTGGTTTTGGTGCTGTTGAACTGCATTGCATTGCTTTTAATAGTTTGTGCACTGCGAGTAAATGTGGTCAGTCGATCCCTAGTTGTGAGCGAGTCCAGGTGTTTTTGTATGATCCTGTTGTATCTTCATTTTGTCATTGATTTAGGCTTTTTGATCCTGTGCTTATTAAACCTTTCCCAACTCCAGGTCATGTAGCTCAGTGCTGCATCTTGAAGTAAAGTTTATGACCTTAAATTTAGGGCACATGTGACGATTTCAAGTTAGATGCAGACTATATCCAGTGTCAGTGAAGTCACCGCTCCTGTGGCTCATCAACAGTGTTCTGCTGTTCTTTTAGTGCTCTGTATAATGCGGGTTGTTAAGGAGGCTTGACAGTCCAGGTGCAGACAAAGCAGGCAGTGACAGTGATGATGCCGCAACGCAACCCTTCTGGGATTGGTGCCCTCGGTCAGGAGGAACAGTGCCCTGATTGAGTGAGCCACTGGGTCTCCATCAATGGCCTGTTTGACAACTACTAGTCCAGGCATTCCTCGTGCAAGATCAGCCTTTGGTCCTGTAGGGAAAAATATAATTTTATGAAACTGATCTAAAGTCTTCTTTAGATGTCGTTGCTGGTATTTTTCAATCTGTTTTGCAGCCCTTACTTCTCATATAGTTTTTGTTACACTCTTTGAAACCTCTAATAGTAGCCTTGTGTGTGAGTCTTTTGGAAGATTTTGTAAATTCTGCTTTCAGAAAGACCATATTTGAAGTTGTTGTACATAAAACAGAAGATCGAGCATGTCTTGATGTCTTGTTTGGGCCTGCGGCTGAGCTGCTCTGGTTTTGATCCCTTCAGGATTGTGAGTTTTGAACTGGCAGTTAAGACCTGAAATGTTGTTTTGTATGTGTTCGTGCCTTATACGCATGAGTTTCCTTAGGTTTGGTTTTGGTTGATGTGTGCTAAAGTTTGTATTTGGAGAGAAAGTAGAAGAAGATAGACTTTAAAGTTGTTGCTACTAAATGTTTATCAACCGCTGACACCACCTTACTCAGGTAGCCTCAGAGGCCTTGTTTGGGAGATGGTGACATCCTGTTTTCTTTGCCCCGTTTCAAAGTTGGGTACAGGCTGGAACTAGGACAGTTGCTTTTAAATTTAGCTCCAAAAGCCCCTTGGCTGCAGAGAGCAGCTTTGTACTCTGAGCTGTTTCAGGCTGGAAGTGCCAGGAGTAGGCGGTACTTGAGAGTTAAAAACTTCCTTTTCTCTCCCTCTCTCTCGCTCTAAAGAAAGTGAGAGAAGATTATCTGTTCCCTCAGCTGTGTTGCAGCATGTTAGCCATGGGACTCAGACAGACTGATGAATTTTTCCTAAATCCCGCAGATAACAGTTAATGAAATTGTCTTTGAGATACAGTTCCGTGAGTCATAGGACACCGAGCCTACATTCATGCAGTGAGAGGCAGACTATGAAAACGCAGCACACTGCAGAGCAGAACTACATGAAGTTAATCTGTATGTCTGTACTGACACTGAATGTTTTATTGTGTTCATAGATGAGCCAGTCAGCCCCAGCGTTGACCGGGAGGCCGCTCCTATTCCACCCTCGGCTGTGATATCTGTTGCACCATCCATAACTACAGGGCCCTCCAGTCAAGGCTCACCGTGCCCTCCCATTCGTCGTCAGCTGTCACATGATCAAGGTAAATAGTACTGGATTGGTTGTATGATGCAAGGCTTGGAAAAAAACAGTGTAGAAATCATTGAATGGATGCTATCCCTTTTTCCATAAAATCCCTTTAAGTAATGTATTCTTGTCCATCGGTCACTGATCTGAGAGCCTAATGATTCTCATTAACACACACGTTGTAAACTAGAAATGGCATAATGTTGTGTTTTTTTTACTGTCACTGTAGAATCCCTGCGAAGCGCTTTGCTGGATTCAGACTCAGCCAGCAAAACAGAGCGGTCCAAGTCTTACGATGAAGGTCTGGATAACTACCAGGAGGAGAGCAGAGGGTGAGTGCATCCCAAGTTTAGCTCATTGTTTTCATCTTTTTCCTCATTTGTATTGACTTAAGGATCTCTCTGACTCTTTCTGTTGTTTCGTTTGTTCAGGAGATCTTCCAGTAAGCACATGCCAAGTCTCAGAGGCCTGAGAAAGGTAAGAAGCTATAGAAACACTCACTACATTTTTGTTTTGCTTGTACTCTATTATAGTATTCCTAGATGTATTTGTAATGAAAGTGCATTTTAAATTGGATACAGGTAAAATTCTGTTTCTTCCACAATTTAAGGAGAAGGTGGTATTTACAGTAGCAACAGGATGGACGTTTGTGCATTGAAATAACTGCTCGAAATTATATGAAAGGTCTGTACTTATCGAATATTGTGAAGACCCAACAAAATGGGATCTAGGTTTGTTTTGAGCACAACAGAGGACGAAAGTACTGTGCCACTGTAGGTGAAAAGAAAATCCAGCACTGAGTGGACAATCAGATTACTGCACAACTGCCAGAGCCAAGCTGTCATACATGGAAATGTAATAAATCTTATTTAGAAGAAAATGTTTTTATGTTGGTTGTTAGTGGTAAAATGAGTCAAAATATGGAACTTGTTGCTCGACACAGTAAGCTCGTTCTTTTGTAGCTTTTTGTTGGGGGTATCGTGAGCTTGTGTAGTATTTTAATCGTCTTCGCATGGTGATTTTGTTTTTGATGTAGTTTTACATTTTGTGGCTCCGGTTCGGTGGGCTTTCATGGTCTCTCTGTTTATATTTACTGGCTTTCTTGGAAAGTTTGAAGAAAAACAACACATTATTCATATTGTCCTAGTGACCGTGCAGCTGTTACATCGCCAGTCTGAATCCATCTGGAGATCTTTGTTGCATGTCATTGTACTCTTACACTCTTCCCATGTTTACTGTCAGTTAATAACACCAAAAAAACACAAATGTCATGTTCACAATGGCAGGCTCTGGATGGACACAAGTCATCTGGGGATTCTGGATCTCGAAGGGACTCCTCTTCAGATATCTTTGCCGATTCTTCCAAAGAAGGGTTACTTAACTTTAGGCAACTTTCAACAGATAAAAATAAGGTAAGCCTTTACACTCATGCTTTATTAAGCTACCATATATATCACTAGTGTTCTGATTTGTGAGTATTTGCCTTCCCTGTCTCTCTGTTTCTGCAGCGTGTCGGTGGAGGGATGAGATCGTGGAAGCAAATGTACGCTGTGTTACAAGGTCACACCCTGACTCTTTACAAAGACAGGAAGGAGGCACTGTCCCATGCTACGACACAATCTGATGAGGACCCGCTGCGAATTAGCATCAAGGCCTGTCTGATTGACATCTCCTATAGCGATACGAGACGCAAGAATGTGCTGCGATTAACAACCTCGGACTGCGAGTATTTGTTTCAGGCAGAAGGGAGGGACGACATGCTGACTTGGATCAGAGTCATTCAGGAAAACAGTAACCCGGATGAAGAGGTGTGTTCAAAAAGACGAATGTTGTTTGCTGAACTTTGTAGCTACGTCTTGATTATTATCACAGGATAAGTAGATTTCTGGTCTCACCTTCAGTTCGAATGATGGAGGTCTGGGGAAACATTAACCTGTTTGTCCTAAAATCTCAAAAGAACAATGAGCCTCCGTGCTGATGTCATTATTCCATCCAGTAGTACGTTATCAGGGCAGACCATTGTACTTGAGGCCAGTTGAATGCAGTTACAGAAAAGCACCTAAAGCATACCACACTATAGTTTTGACAGAAAAAGCAGGCACGCCCATCAGGTTAACAACAAAGTGAACCAAAGTCTGTCTTTGAAAAAAGTACAATGAACGTCTGAGGGAGATGAAGAGGATTACAGCCTTTATTTATAAAATGGTTAACAAAAGCTAAGTTACATGAAACCTGTTCTACCTGGACAGAACAAAAAAAAAAAACACACAGGTGGCACTTGTTGGGGTGTGAGTGGGAAAAAAATTCAATTTTCGACCAATCAGGAAGGCGCTTTTCAGCAAGATCTCGTTAAGTGACATCTTCTGGCAAAAATTCCTTCTGGGATCTCAGATGGAGACATGATGTGTGACTGGAACTGTTTTGGAAAACATCTGGAACATAAACTGTTCGAACTTGTTGTCCAGTAAGACCGCCCTTACTATTGGCGTAGACCATTTTGGCAACTGATGAAAACAATTTCTAATGCTTTTAAATTTTATGCAGCGCTGGCGTGTTACCAAACTGGAGGTTTATCACCAGGCTGTTTAAATACGGGACAGACTCTCCATTTGTCCAGACACTGTCCTTTGTGCAGTTTGCTTTAGCGTTTTTTCTTTGGTCTGTCAAACAAATGATGACATCCTGGCTACCAAGTAAAACACATGTTCAGATCTTAGCTTGTTATAGCTAAAATTTAAATCTATGTATCACTGAATATAAAGGTTTAGAAAATGATTTTGTTTGGTGTTTTTAAGCAAATCTGTTATCATTTGTTAAATTATATTAGACAGTTAAATGTAAATGAACCTGCATACAATTTAGTACTAACTTTATTCAGGGTTTTAATCCTCAGTGTATTTCTGCTGTCTTTCTAGAACGCTACGGTAACAAGCCAGGACTTGATCAGTCGCAAGATCAAAGAGTACAACATGATGAGGTATGCAGGATCCAACGTTGCCCCCTGGGGGTCATTCACAGTCATCTACCATCTATTTTTCCTTTATAATTCTATGCCAACCCTAATATTAATGTGTGTCTTTTTTCTTTTCAAACTTTTCATGTTGATCAGTGCGCCCAGCAGCAGGTCTGAACCCTCCCCCAAAACCTCCCGCCAATCCCTCAGCATCAAACAAGCCTTCATGGGAAGCAAAGCGGACGTCAAGAGCCACAGTCCCCATTCGCCGAGACCAGGAGAGGAGCGCAGGGCACTGAAAGGTAAAGACTCCAAATGCTGAGATGTACCAGTTTGTGTGGACGGAGGACATGTAAGCTCAGATTGCTAATTTATGTGTGGATGTGTACCTCGTCAGATGACTCCAGTCCACCGCGGGACAGAGGTGCATGGAAACTTGGTGGCATTGCAGGGATCATGAAGAAGCCCTTTGAAAAAAAGACTCCAGCTGGCATCACTTTTGGAGTCCGACTTGATGATTGTCCATCTGCGCAGTGTAACAGGGTGGGTCTGCTCTTTGTGTTTTTAAAAGAACGCTGCGTGGTTATGTGTTTGGTTGATGATATGATTTTAAGCTCGTCAGCCACCATGGGCACTAATTCACGCACAGTTTAGGTTAAATCGCCTCATTCAATGCAGTTGATGACTTGTGGTATCTAATGTCTCCTGCGGTGTGTTGTACAGTATGTTCCTCTCATCGTGGAGGTGTGCTGTAAGGTTGTGGAGGAGCGAGGTCTGGAGTACACTGGAATCTACAGGGTCCCCGGGAACAATGCTGCCATCTCCAGCATGCAGGAGGAACTCAACACCAAAGGCATGACTGACATCGACATCCAGGAAGACGTGAGTGACAGACAGTCCGGTTGCAGCGTACAGCGCGCCACTTTACTGACAACATCTTTGAGCTTTGATTGATTTGGTACTGTAAGGGCTGCTTGTTTAACATCTCGCTCTTTTACTACTTGACAGAAATGGCGGGACCTGAATGTCATCAGTAGTTTATTAAAGTCCTTTTTCCGAAAACTTCCAGAACCTCTGTTTACTAATGGTAAGATAGAAAACGGATATATTACTTGAGCTGTGTTGGATTCTATGTGTGATTCCCTCATTGTGTCTCGCTCTATTCACAGAAAAGTATGCTGATTTCATTGAAGCCAATAGAACAGAAGAATCGGTAGAGAGATTAAAGGAGCTCAAGAGGCTTGTGAGTGAAAAGTCTAAAATGAATGACTCATATTTGAGTAGCATTGCTATCAGGCATACCATTAACATTTGTGGCATGAAATTCTGTCCCTTTTTTTTTGTCAAACCTTGCAGATTTATGAATTACCACATCATCACTATGAAACTCTGAAATTCCTCTGCGCTCACCTCAAGAAGGTTTCTGACAACTGCGAGAAGAACAAGGTACGAGCGTTAACGGGATCTGTCATTGTTAATGTCGTTAGTTGACACCGTGCGATCCTGTGCTAATCCCGTTTTCCTTCGAGGATTACCTCATTAAGACTGATCTGTCTTTACCCGATCTGTTTAGATGGAGCCTCGTAACTTGGCCATCGTGTTTGGTCCCACGCTGGTCAGAACCTCTGAGGACAACATGACCAACATGGTGAATCATATGCCAGACCAGTGCAAGATAGTTGAGAACCTGATCCAGCAATTCGACTGGTTCTTCACTGATGACAGTGATGAGGACCCTGTTGTGAGTGGCAGTTCATTTTCTTCTTCTTTATTATGTTTGACATAGATAAATCTAATCTTGAGCTTTTTAGTGCAACAGGGATACTGCCGATATTATCAATATTGAGCAATGGCTCAAAAGGCTGTAAATAAAATGTTTCTTGTACTAACACACCAAATCTGCAGCGCACTCTTTTTGAGACTCGACCCTCACCACTGGTTCTAAAGCCTGTAATATTTTTGGATCTCTGTTCCATCAGTGTCATTTTCACTTACAGTAGGCAGCTGTTTTATGAGAACAAGCTCAGATAAACCCACTGTACATGACCTGCCCTGGGCCAAACAGTAGCCAGACAAGATTAGTGACAAGTTGGAAAACATCACGGAGCATTTAGCAGCTAAAGAGCCAGATGTTTTTCCCGGGGCTTGGTGTGTACCGGAGCAGAGCTAAATCGATGAATTGACCTTTTCAGTTGATCAGTTTTGGCAGCTTTAAGTAAAATGCGATTGATGTCTTACTTATTCTGTTTTGTTTTGTTATTTCTTTTAATTTATGCATTGTGTTTAGATTCTTATTTTCTTCTTCTACACTCTTTGTGTTATTCCCTCCATGTTTTACTCCAGACAACGGCAGAGCAGGAAAGCACGGTGCAGTCTCAGCCTGTGCCCAATATCGACCACCTGCTCTCCAACATTGGGCGGACGGCAGCCTCGCCAGGCGAAGTCTCAGGTAACTTAGCAGCAGCTTTTTCTCTAGACCTAGCGCTCCAGCATCAGCACAGCAAATATTTACCATGGCAGCAATGCTATATGTCATTAATATTATTACAGATCATTAAAGAGATGTGTTGTAGACTTATTTTAAGACTAAATGTTTGTAAAGTGTCACTTGTTAATGCTAAAAGAATGAGCATCATCCCTGTTTTGCAATATATGAAATGCTTTGAGCGAAAAACCAAACGTCCAAATCTTATTTGTGTTTCCGTTAAAGCGAGCTTTTTCAGTAATTTTTCAGTAAACGCAATGTTCAGCCATTGGAAAATTGCTGAAAAATTCCTTGCAGTACGTCAAGCCTTTTTATTAATTACTTTAATTTTTGGATAGAAGTCTGTTTTGTTCCGATGTTGATGTTTTTTTTTGCCCAAAGATAAAACTGTCCTCAAGTTTTATTTCCGTTCATTTCTTTGCTTTACTCTTTATTTTTTCCTTGCTCAAGTCATTTTTTCTCCCTGTGCTTTACCTGTGTTGAGACGACGACTCCTTTTCTTTCAGTTCTTTTCTTCCCCTCCTCCTCGTCTCTCACATAATCCCGGCATGTTCTTTCCCAAAGAAAATCTAACAAACAAAAAGAAACGATGGAAGTTTTAACCCTTCTGACCTGTGCCCTTCTGTGTGTAGTGTGTTGTTTTTCTCCCTTATCCTTGTCCAGCACTCACACATTACCCAATCTTGACACAGGCCAAGTGGGCGGCGTCTATCACTCGATGATGTCACTGATGGACTCTGTTTTGTCAGTGATGGACAGCTGGGACTGTAGGAAGAAGGACGAGTGTTGTGCCCAGTGTAGCTGCCTAGTCTGCAGAAACCCGCAGCTCTTTTAAATTTGGGCGAAAGGAGGAAAAAAGATAAAAAAGAAAGAAAGAGAAGTCGATGTTTGTCATTTTTCCTGTGGTGTGCACGTCTCATATTTAAACCAATACCCTAAATTGAGGGGATACAGAGCGATGCTGCTATACTTTCTCTGAAAGCCCTTCTGCTGTCTCTTGTTGTCTCTTAAGCTGATCGCAAGGACAAGTAGCATGGTACGGTCAACCTCAGGTTCTCTCCCGGTCATGTGGCATAATCTGTCATGATGTCTGAGGGTGGGGTCGCAGTGTTGGGACTGAGCTGGATGTTCCCCAGCACACACGCGTTTACACACAAACAAAACCCACACATACTACAACCACGTCCCAGACTGATGAGTCTTTAGTGAGGTGTTGATGCAGAGGCACGCAGGCTCTCAGTGGACGGGGCTCCATGCACGTAGACGTAGGGATATTTGCTGCCACATGTAGTTTCTTAGTTTCAGGTGCCGCCTCTTGTGTCTTTTTGTTTGGTTGTTGTCTGTGATGTCATTATTTCAAAATGGATGTCTTTAGTCAACATTTAAAAACGTCACATCGTCAACTACAGACAAACATCGCCACGTACTTCCTCATGTCCGACCACACAGTGTTTGACATCTACATCAGTCACTGACACATCTCTCACAGTGTCTCCCTAACCAACCCAACACACCTAAATTAGAGAACTATAATAATAATAGCCCGTTTCCACCACAGGAATGTTTAGGAGACCAGGAACCTTAACAGGAGTAAAACTTTCTGATGGCTCTGGAGCTGTCAGACCAAGTTTTCAGTGAGCGTTCATGAATGTTCAACCTCACAGCTTGTTCAACTAACTTACAGCTCCACTCACACAGTAAAGAGACACTAGATCAAACTACTAACGATGTTAGCTTTGGACATTTCATACCTCATTCTACATTAAAAACAAAGTTATGCTGTACAGGTGCTTTCTAGTTTTTGTTTTTGCTTTCTGTCCATTTGTTGTATCCACTTAAATTTAAGTGCCACAGTTAAAATAATAATTAATAGCTCAAATTTTACACACGAAGAAGCAACACAAGTACTTCTGTTAAATTGTGTTTTAATTAATTATTGGACCCATTTGTCACCTTTGGATGAGTGGAAATGCAAACAGGAATCAGTACACTTTTTATTTTAATGTGAGTTTAGTTCCTGTGTTTGTACAAAAAAAGGACTCTTAGTCTGCTTATCTTTGTTGGCTGCAGTTTGCATGTGTTCTACTTTTTCAGCAGTGAGACAAAACGGTTTCATGAGCTCTTTGTTTTGCCTTTTATGTTGTTGATTAGTGACAGGCTACAAGTTAAAGGGCGCTGCAGGAGTTAATCTAGCTTGGGCTAAGAGCAATCTCTGCCGTACCAAAGCTCGCCTGTGCCAGCTGTATCGACCACAACACACACCCACTGATCTGTTCAGCTCAGGCCCCTTAAGTCTCTCAGTCAGAGCAAAACTCATCACTCCCTCTCCTCTGTGATGTCTTTGAGTTGGGAAAGAATGCCTACAGCTGGTTGGTGGCTACATGTGATGCTCTGTGACTGGCGTGTTTGTCCGTGATGTGCCGTCGTTCCATCGATACATGAGCATGAGCTGCTTTTTGTGTCTTGGTTTTACTGCCGGGTTTTCACCTCCTTTTCCTCTCATCGTTCATCCCAGGCCTCTTCTGCAGCTTTCTCCACTTTTCCATATACTGCTTAGTGTGGTTACTCGTCTTCTTGTCTCTCTCTTTCAGACCAAACGTGTTTCATCTGCTTTTCATCGAGCTGCTCTCATCATATTCATCACATCTGTCATTTTCACTCTTAGCAACCTTAAAATCTGCCTCTTCTCTTTTGTTATCTTGTTGACTGTTGTCAGAAAGTCATTGAAGTGTCAAACTTTTACTAATGGTTCTCTTCTTTTTAATACAGACTCAGCATGTAGTGACTCCTCCAAATCAAAGGTAACATCCTCCCCTTATTGTGCTTCTCATAAATATTTAATTCCTTTGTCTTTGCTGCTTCTATATTCTCAAGTCTTGCACATCTTTTATGCTGTTTTGGCTCTGTGTCAGCAGGGCTTGTGGGGGTCAGGGAAGGATCAGTGTAGCAAAGAAATGCTGCGCTCCTCCTTCTTCGCCAACCGCAAACGCAAGAAGCCCAAGGACAAAGCTCATCCCAGCAGTTCAGACGACGACCTGGACCATGTGTTCACCAAGAAGGAGCTGCCAGAGGAGAGCCAGCAGCAGTCTCTGTGGTCCCCAGGCAGTCGGACAGAGGAGGAAGAGCAGACGGATGAAACCAGTGAGAAGGAGAACCTCAGAACCAGCTCCGAGGAACAGCTGGATAAATCCAACAGGAAAGAGTCTCTCTCCAGCAGCCCGATGTCACAGCCTTCTCCCTCCCTGCCTCCAGAGCACATCTCCTCCACCCTTCCCACTGGTTCTCCCTATACCTCGCCTTCCCATTCCCCAAACCTCAGCTACCGCATGCCAATGGCTCACCAGTCCTCGCTGTCGGACCCGCCCTCCAACTACGACGATACGGTGTCCGACCTCGGTACGATGAACAGCACCAGCTCTCAGGCCTCAGTGCCCAGAGTGAGGCGCGGCAGGATGGCAGCTCTCGGTACAGACGCGTGCCCCAGCGGGCTGGGAGCAGAGGTTTGCTCCATTACCTCGGACTATTCCACCACATCCTCCATGACTTTCCTGACTGGAGCTGAGCTCAGCACCCTGAGTCCTGAAGTGCAGTCTGTGTCTGAGAGCCGAGGTGGAGAAGATGCAGACGACGAGAGAAGCGAGCTCATCAGCGAAGGAAGGCCGATGGAGACGGACAGTGAGAGCGACCTGTCGGTGTTTACTGTCGGGAAAGCCGATCAGCGGGAACTGCAGGAGGCTCCTCGACCGCTTCCCTCGCACAGACTGATCGAGTGTGATACACTCTCCAGAAAGAAAGCTGCCCAACAGAAAACCGACAGCGAGTCTTCACTGGAGGGAGCTCGTAGCGATAAAGATTCCAACAGACTGTCGCGTGTTTTGGGGTCAGTTAAAGGCCGTTCTACCGGAAGCCTCAGCTCGTCGTCCCGGAGTGAACTGGATAAGACAGAGCCTGCGTGGAAGTTGAAGATCACAGACCGACTGAAGGTACGTCTTCGAATGTCTGTAGACGACATGTTTGGCGTGGGCAGCCAGAGGAGTCGGTCCCCGGAGGGCCGCAGTAAGAAGAAGAACATCAGACGCAGACACACGATGGGCGGCCAGAGAGATTTTGCAGAGCTGTCTGTTTTGGGGGACTGGCCGCAGTCGGTTGCCATCGGTTCAGGCTCCCGGTCGGAGCTGTCAGCTGTAGACCGGCTGAAACCGAAGTGCAGCTCTCAGGACTTCTCTATTGGGGACTGGATCGCCCGCGAGCGCCACCGTACCAGCAATCCTGAGGTCAGCCTGGACTTCTCTGAACAGCAGGGAGGGCTGTGCGGCGCAAACTCCCAAAACCTCGGAGCCTCGTCCTCTTCTGAACTCCCACATCGTCCCGGTGAGGCGTTGAACGGGGACGTCCCCCAGAGTAAAAATCTGAGCCTTTCGGCCACCGCTCACCCACATAAACTCACCAGCTCCCAGGTGGTCCATTCGCGGTTTTATCAGTACCTGTGAGAGGTGTTGGACGTGCGTGGCTGTGTCTGTTCTCCATCTGTGAGATGTGTACGTACTTGGGAGTCTGTCAGTATCGTGTCTGTTGTGTGACAAATGTTAGTGAATGAGCATGTTGTACAAAAAGTGTCTAGAGTGTGTGTCTGTAACTGGTGTGTGTGCGTGTGTGCGCTTGTGAAAAGAGAAAAACTGCACACAGGGATTGTTGATCTTGCTCATGTATAAGGCATGGAACAAAATGTTGTTTATATCTTTTTAATTTTTTTTTTCTGTTTGTTTTTTTTTTTAATGACAAATGACTTTGGGATGCTCAGCAGGAGGACTTCCTCCCTCCTCGTACAAATCCCTGTTATGCTGAAGATCGAAAGGACCTGTTGCTCGCGACACAATGAGCCCGTGAAGTACGTTCAAGGAAGTGGGAATACTTGAGTTAAGATTGTTTAAAGGTTTAGCTAAGTAGCTTTAAGGATGAACTGACTTAGAATGGATAGGAAGTAGTAAAAAACAAAGTACAGATTTTTAGTATTGCAGAGGAACTATTTTTGTGTAAAGAAAGTTACGATGTTCAAAGTCAGTGAGTCTGTCGGTAACCAAATGAAGAATGTACAGACATGCTTGCTGTAATACTGACTAAAAGCTTTAGATGCTTGTGTTTCATTCTAAAGTGTACATATCCCTATTTTTCTGTGTACTTGAATCGTGTTTTTTGGTACAGCCTGTGTGTGACTGCCTACAAAGCTCTCTGCTGTCAAAGGGCCTTCCCAAAGGTACAAAGGAGACGAGGAGACACTGGACTTATGCAAACGGTAATATAGTTCCTATTCATCCCTGCTATGTGGTTTAAAGAGCAGCGAACAACATCCCTCTGATGCAAACGTTTCGCTGCGTTTCGGTGTTTGTGGTTCACACGTCTGTCAGAGACTGGCAGCAGACTGCGTAGACAAGAAAGTTGGAAGAAGAAAAATGGGTAATTCAATCAGAAAAATCATGTTTCTTCATAAAAGAAAGTGCCTCACAATGAAATGTTATGGGTGCCATATTGTCTTTGTTGAGACACACGAAGATGTTACTGTGAATGACATTTTTATTGCTGACTCTCAGTCATTCTACAGGTTCTGAAAATGCCGAGCTTCCATTCCTTAGGCATTCCACTCTGGTCTTAAATATGTTTTTTACATTTTTTTTTTTTCTCTTCTGTTTTCATTTTTTTTGATTTTAACAGAACTTGAATTTTAAATATTCGTTGTAAAATAAGTAACTTAAATGTACATATAAATGCCATGTTTTAGCTGCTTTACTTTTCATTTCCATCAGATTGCAGGATTGAGTACAGTATTGTGAGACGAGACGCTCATGAGGCCTGTGTGGGTGTTGTGGGCAGTTTGGTACTTCTCTGGGGAGAGAGAGGTTCCCTGCAGGACGAGGACACGTCATTGAGCTGGATGATTTGTATCGGTGCGGTGTTCCTCTGATTGCGAGGGGTGTGCACAGACTCCTGAAACACTGGAAATAAATTTTGTCAATGGCAAATGTCCACGTGTGTTTTATTTCTTCGCTTCGTAAAAGAAGAAGTCTGGCTTGAATAGCCAACAAAGCAATATTTCACTAAAACATCTGTATGTAGGCTTGGGTGCCAGACAAAAGAAGAACATGATTTCCCTTTTTAAAGCACTTAATTTGCAGAAAAATGTCTGAGCGCTTTGTCAAAAACAAATGCTATGCTTAGTGTAGTAGACACGATTTGCAGCTTGGCATTTATACACTGCACAGGAAATGAGCCTTCAATGAGGGCTTCGATGTGTTTAGCATTCAGACCTCACCATTTTAAGAACGTAATCTCTTTTACTGGAAGTGTGAATTTCCTTTAATATGCCTATATAAGGCCGTGGGATAGGAGCGCTCTGTGATAAGCTGCAGTATGATTATGATTAACAAGCTCCAGTAGAGCGATTCATAGAATCACTGGATGTAGGTAGTTTGCTGCTACCAAACCTTGAATAAATTCTGATTTGCTACGGTTAAATGGTCTCAGCAAATATACAGTGCTTAACACATTTATTAGACCTCCTGTCATAAAAACGAGAACGCATTAATATTTTAGAAGTCTTTCAAAAACTTATTTAAAATTGTTGTGGTTATTTATTTGGCAAATAACAAACTGAAACAACTAAATATTCCTTTTTCACACATAATAATCCAAAAAAAGCAATTGTTTGTTTGTTCTTGCTGGAATTGTTTTTATGTACTTTTCGACAGTCTCTTTTATTGCCGAGTTCAAAATAGTTTCTAGACTTGCTTTAGATGAAACTTTTGTGCGATCAATCTTACATCCCAACTTTCTGCAATAGGATTCAGATCTAGACTTTGACTCGGCCAGTCCATCAGTTCCAGAACCCCAGATTCGTTTTTCTTGGTCAGATAGTCTCTGCAAAGCTTTGAGGTATGCTTGGAGTCGTCTATTTGGGAACCCATGACCAATCAGAATCAGTCCAGAAGGGATTCCACGATACACTAAGATGTTGTGGTAGACAGTCTTGTTCATGATACTGTTGATTTTGGACGTTTCCACTAATAGAACCCCATACCATAATGGAATCTCCACCGTGTTTCACTGTGGGTGCAGTGCATCTGGCATCAAACCCTTCTCCAGCTTTTTTGCGGACATAAACACGACGATGCTGACCAAAGAGTTCAAACTTGGGCTCATCCATCCAGCGTGCCCTCTTCCAGTCATCAACAGTCCAGTGTTTCTACTCGCTGCCAAATCTGAGGCATTTCTGGATGTTTGTAGGCCTCAGTAATGGCTTCTTAGCAGCTATTCTTCCCTTTAAGTCTTGTTCTATCAGTCTTTCTCAGACTCTGATCTAGAAGCATTCATCTCTGCCTGAAGATCAGCAGTGGTTAAAATCTTGAGGTGTCCGACATCTGCTTCGGTTACCTTTCATTTCCTGCCTCTTCCGTGGCGCATTTTGTAAATATCAGTCTCGGCAATTGACTGCAAACATACTTGACCACACTGTGAGAGCACTTTATGTCTTTCTTTACTTGCCTCAGAGACCGTCCAGCATCATGAAGCGCTTTAATGCAGATTCAGCTCTCGACATTTTACCATTTTGGAACAGCAAGGTGGTGCAGTTGGTAGTACTGTTTCTCACAGCAAGAAGGTCGCCAGTTCACGTCCTGGTGGGGGTACCTGGCTGTTTCTGCGTGGAGTTTGCATGTTCTTGCCGTGCAGTGCTCTCAGTGTCCAAAAACATGTTGAGGTTAATTGGTGATTGTAAATTGTCCGTAGGTGTGAATGTGAGTGTGCTTGGTTGTCTGTCTCTAA